TATTAATATTGTTCAGTGCGCGCGGTCAACTATAAAATTTCTTGTAATATTTAAGAAACGCATTTTTGTTTATCTAATCAATAATATATTCTCTAAATTTTTTGGAAATTTCACTCCAAGAGAGTGAAGATGCAGCCATATTTTTTGGAGAAGAGTAAAAATATTTCACAAAGATGATTGACAATTTTCATTCTTTTTGATACAAGATTTTATTTATCAAAAATCATTTATTTTCATTATTACAATTTTTTGCGTACAATGGTCCCCGATTAAAAACGCAATTTTCCATTAGAAACAAAAATGCAACGCACATTATTTGAAACTAGGTCGAAACCAAAATTGAGAATGCATATATTCCTAGCAATGTAGCAACACTGCAATTTATAAAGTGATACAATAGCATTGTTAAACTAAATAGAATAATCCGCTTTCACCAAAAATTGAAAACTTTTATTACACTTACAATCATCTAATTTTACATTTATAGTTTTATACTATTGTTTAAAATTTCATAAATAATAATGTATAAAAAATATTTGAATTGCAAAAAACAATATATATGGTTACGAGCCATTTAAAAAAAAAATAATTGAAGTTTTAAAAACACCGTATTATATAGTTCTATTCGTACATCACTGTTATACGTAACGTTAATATCAGACTAACTTGCAATTTTATGGATTCACGTATGATTTTTTTAAATAAAATTATTTAATCCGTAAATGGAAACGTGATTTGTTGACTCACCCCGCTTTACGTCCCGCCACGTGTTCGTGATTTCGCCGAATCTGCCCAGTCCGTTTGGTGTCCGTCCATATATTCCTCTCACATCGTTCAGAGGTTCGGTTTTTCTCGACCCTACAACAATAACAATTGTCAATTTTTATTGACATGCGTCCATAATCATCTATTTTTTACAGTATTATTTATATAATATCTTAATTAAAACCTTTGAGGATTTATAATTAAATTGTAACAAAAAGAAATTTTCTTTCAAATATAAAATGCAGGATATAATTAAGCACTGTACGTGCGCGAATACGAAGAAAACATGGTTAAATTTAGAATTTGCAAAATTTATATATGAGTTGACCTCAGCGATTAATTCTTTAAAGTCTGATTTTTTTTTAATACAACGTACATTATAGTTATTATTTTTGAATACAAAATGAGGTCAAAACATAAGAATTAATAAATTTAAAATGACAAATCCAATATAACAAATTTAAGAAATAAAATATTATCAAATTGTACTAAAAATATTTTTTATATGTGATTTTAAAAAGAGTATATAAAAGTCAAATATAAGCAGACTTAAAATATTGTGTACAAAATTAAAAAATATGATAGTATTCATAATACATATATTATTAATACATATTATAATTTTTTATCAATAAAATTGAATGTTTATTGATAATAAAACATATGTTGGTAAAAAATATGTAGATTAAAAAGTTAAAAGTTCTCGCATTTATAAGTATCAAACAAAAAATCAATTGTCGCGTAACGTCAGAAACATTTCGCGCGTAAAACTTCGTAAATGCATCGCAAAATAGTGCATTTGCGATAGCCAGCCATTCTTGGTCACAATGACTTTTCCCACAAACATAGTACATAGGTACTTTCCAGCAAGAGAAACAGATGACACAGTATAACACAGTGAATCATAACATTCTTGCTGTTTGCCAATGTTATTTGCCACAAAAGTGAAAATGATTCACTGTGTTTCACTTTGTTATTTATGTCTCTTGCAGGAAAGCATCCAATATCTAGACCGAGTATTCGCAGTTATTTGTAGAGTAGGGTTCGAGGTGCACTTAGAAAAGAACTCGCTTTATGTTTTGTGTGTTCTCTTTCACTCGTATTCCATTCTCTCTCATTCCGTTTTTCTCCTCACTCTTTTTACGCGTGAAAAAGAGAGAATGCAAAGAGCGCAAAATAAAGTGAGTCCTTTTTTTATGTGTGCACCCATCATTCCTCAACACATTTAATCCAGAGATATACTATATCCATGTTTTTTCCATATGTCGAAACTCCATTTTATTCCGTGAGATCTACGGAGATTACATTCGCTTCCGCATAGCAACTAACGCGACGCAATTTGACGCGTTGCACATGCAACAAATGCATAATGCGACTAGACCTGCATATGCATGAAGTCACGAAACGTATATGTGCGCGTACTGCAATGTATGCGCGTCCAGAAACACAAGAGGGTAAACTCGAGCACTAGGAGGTAAACAACTGCGCACCACAAAATGCCGGAATCGCTTTGGAACATTAGAACGTTGTAACTTAAGTTTTATTGCTCTGCCATAAGGATAATAGTAATAAAATAAAAGATTCACCGCAACCACACCACAATTCCGCAGCGGAATACTTATTTCCCCTCATACATTCCTTGTTGCACTCGATAATAAAATTCTCCAACAGAAATATTAATACGGTATTATCATAAAATTTATGAATTTTGCTACAACTTTTGCACTTAAAAACGAGATAAATATTTGAATCATGGAAAAAAGGAAAACGGAGATTTTGTATGCGAAAAGTGCAAGCAAAACAAACAGATATTTTTATTTACAAGAAAAAAAAAGAAAATTACGATTTTATGCAACTTACGAATGAAGTTATTTTATCAATTATACTGAGTTTACAGTTAACTTCACTCACGATTCTCCCGATCACTATAATAAATCAACTACCTCGTAATTCAGTCCGACCACTATTACATTCTCGTAATTATTTCATCGCTCGTCATGGTGTGTAGCAGGCGAGCGTGACAGGGCGTGACTTTTACACTGAACGTTCTCTGCTACGGCGCCAATAAAATGCGGCCGACAGCCGAAAGTACTTTATGCGATTGTCAGGCGCGAGTTAACGCACTCGGGAATAACGCGTCAGTAGGCGAAATTGGTCGTAAATTCTACGGTTCAGAAATCTTTTTATCTCTTAATGTAGCTCCCCCACGTCGTTTCACGCGATATCTACTACTACCGTTACAAGATAAGGGATGCCGCATACTCCCTTCTTAATCTCCGCTTTTTCACCTCGTTTTTTGGTACACCCACCCAACGGTCGATTTCTTTAAGCACATATTTTTCTCTCGACGCAAATACTTTTCTTACATTATAACCATTATTCGTCGGCAAGACGTTTGCAGTATATTACGTATATGCAAATATTTCCAAGATTGTTACGTACTATAATTTAGAAAAACAGAAATATAGCTCTTGTTATTCAAAACGTAGAGTATAATTTACGTAAAAATTCTGCGCCAATAGCTGACTGTAACTGGATTATTGATCGGTCGAAAATATCGTATATTTGCGTAACATTGCGTCATGGTATCGGAAAAAAACTGTATTCACTTCTGCGAAAGAAATATTATTTTTCCTAAATAATTATTGAGTGCAATGTTTGTGTGTGTATGTGTGTGTGTGTGTGTGTAGATTTGCTACCTTTATCCTTTATACTAGACTTTTTCTTTCTATTATTAAATTGTTACAGCTATAAAAAAAATCGTACTTTGTTAACAAATAAATTGTAACATTGGATAGAATCAGTTAAAAGCTTAAAAAAAATATGATAACCATGAGAAGACCCGTTGGTTAGTTTTTTTACGCTTTTTATTTTTATAACATGACAATAATGTTTTGAAAGGTCAATTAAATATTTCAGAAAATTAATAATATTTAATAAAAATGCCTATATTATTATTATATAAATATAATATTATAAAAAAGAAATATACTATTAAGAAATATAGTAACCGTCAAACACATTATTCATGTATGAACTTATTTCCATTCTAGAGAGCTTTCCATTATTTAAATATACTAGATACCAAATTCTCTTTGAAAAATTGATGTCATTTATATTTGAATGAAGGAATTTTCTCGAAAATAAAAGAGTAAAAAGCATTATTTTTTATGGCAACTTTTTAAAATTAAATGTTATTTGTATATAAATAACACACAGTCAATATGCTTGTGATCGATAAAAAATTTAAAAATAATTTTTACATAAGATTTAGGTAATTCTCTCTTTTAAGAATATTATATTACTCTGTTAAATCATTCCGTGACATAATATGTTTATGATTTCCCATTGGCACTGAATATAAACGGATATGACAACTAGACCGCAGGGACGTTCAAAGAGAATGTGGATATTAACATCTAAATCCCTATTACATTTCCAACTCCTGCAGAAGCAATTTCAGACGTCAGTCATGATGAAGGAAATAATAAAAAGAGAAAATAAAAGAATTTTTTGAATAAGTTAAATAAGATATCAAGAAGTCTAAAGTAAGAAGTAATTGCAAGAAAGAGTATAAACCTTGACAAAATTATCCGAAGTAATTAGTGTTCCTTAAAAACGTTTTAGGTTTTATTTTATATTATCGATACGTTTTGACACAGGTGATGGAAGATGTAAAGAAGTTAGTAAAGATGTTACAGAGTCACCGATAAGCGCGGAAATTGGCACGAAGGAAATCGATTGGTATTGCGGAGAAAAGGGAAGAAAAATGCTGGTTGCACTACGGTAGAAACTACATTTCTCCGTCATGTTACTCTTTTCTCCTAAAAACGTTTTATTTTGGTGCATCACTTTTTATCCGATGGAATCGACGCATTTATTTGAACTTCGCGAGATAGGCATACTCTTGAAAGATGCAGTACAAGAAAAAGGAGGAGCTTGTGACCCAGGTTACCAATGTGAATATAAAGCAGCCGATGCAGTAAAAGTCATAAGCCATTTCTTTCATACGCTTTTTCTTCGCTAAGTATACAAACTTCGTTAACGAGTTGGGAAAATTTAAAAACAAAGACTTTGCATGACGACCAGTATCGTCGGGGAATTTTGCAAACGCAGATATAAATTACACAATAGTAAAGAAAAAAATAGGTGCAAACTATAAAAAGAAAAATGCCTTTTGTCCTTGCGCAAAAAGACGAATTTACTAGCCTTTGTTTAAATCTGCAGAAGAGAAGAAGTGCACGGATGAGAGACAAATAATTATACAGTATAATTAATTAGATATACACTTTGCATATTTTCAATAGCATAAATAGATAAAACATGTCGTTAATATAAAGAAAATGAAAGAAATTAATTAATTTTAATGTAAAGAAAAGAGAAAAGTGAAATAATATATCAAATGACGTATATAAGCTGTAAATTATAATATCAATTTATAATAATCGCTTTTAAATCATTTAAAGTTTTTATTTAAAAATTCTGTCTTAGAGTTTAACGCGATATTAAATAAGAATATTTTTACATTTTGCGTTCCAATGTCGTTCCTTCATTGATAATCATAATACATACAGAATAATAACAAGGATTTATTTGATTATTATTTGTCACTTTTAAATTGCACTTTTGCAATTTCAATAAATAAAAAGATATTCAAAGATGAGATATTTTTCAGTAATATTCTCCACTGAGAGGTAATGAACCGTTTGACAGGTGTCATAAATCTTAAAGAGCTCCTAAAGTATCATTCAAAGATAATTTCACAAAAGCAGAACGTTCTTGATGCTGCTGGCGTACACAGTGCATCTTGGAAAGTAATTAATCATAAACCCTTGAATTTGTCTATTAAGAGCAACTAATAGAATCTTTGAAAAATTAAAATATAATTCAGCCGCATTAAGACAAAAACTGCAGTATGAGGAAAGAACGATTTCTTGACAACACAGATTAGTTGAGGTAATAAAAAGCAAAGAAGTTATTAAATAAATAAAATTAAGTAAAACATAAGTTAAAAACAATTATTAATATAAGAGCCGATATTAGAAAAAGATGTGTATAAGTACATTTACTATAATCGTATTTAAGTATTATAA